ATAGGTTAATTTACTTTATAACTTCTGTATTGTGTTTTTCCTAGGATTTCTTTTATCATCATAAATTTTGTCCTTTCAAAGCTGTATATCTTCTTTGCCTACATGCTAGCTTCTCTTACTCATCCACTTAAGTGAACACTAGATCATTTATATTGAATACATCTTTCCTGATGATCTTTCATTATGCATTTGTTTCTCTTCTACCTCAACTAATAAGAGTGATATATGGTTCTCAATTTGGCATCAGCCAACAATTGATCATAGTATTCCGTTCAAATACAGATAGCAATTACTACTACAAACTCCCTATTTCAGAGATTTATATGGTGATGACATGACTGGATTCCACTCCTACCATGAGATTTCACAACAACAGTGTCACATGTAATAACTCAAATTTTTTCCAATATAAATTATATCTTATGGTATTATGGCTGAAAACCACAGCATAAAATTGCTCAAGCTGACACTGCAAAAATATGCTTCAATTTGCCTTTGGAATTCAAAGTCAAATTGCATTATTCTTGGCGAAAATTGTGGAATTTTCTTTAAGCCTGTTTTTTATTAAATCTAGTGATTGATGTCTGAATACAAAAAGATACCATTATCCCCCAAAGTAGGTGGTATTTCCTTAAGTGAGGAATAATACTAATTACTGTAAAGGATTACTGACAAATGTTACTATGATCATCCATATTCGAGAGAGATTAATGCCACACGTTTTAAGGGCTGTACAAATTTTAGACCAATATTTTCCTTTCTCACTCAAACTATACTACAGCATGATGTATTGTCTTAACAGCAGAAGTTTTAAGCCTAGCATTAAGTTGATTCATCAATCAGTGGAATATTTTCTTGTCGTGAAGTTCTATGGCGTGTCAAGAAAGTAATTCATATTTAACTGTGTAATTAGCTTCCCATATAGAAAAGCCAGGAGAAACATTTATAACTTTTCTTTCATTTGGGTAACAAAGGAAATTTCTCTACAGCTATTTGTTCCTTCATTTGTTGAATTCTGTTCGTGTCTTAATATGAGATACTGTACTGTCTCTTTGAGCACAGCACTTGAGATCAGAAGCTTCATACATTCTCATATTTAATTCTACGGGCTTGAACAAAGACATTAATGGGGTTTCTTTCGTCTTCCATCTGTAGACTGTGGCTATTCATACTTAAGTGTCTCTTGTATTAATGGTAGTTATTAATAGCTGTATTGATTAATATTTAATGAATTCAAATTATTTTTGTGGACAAAAATATTCTCAACTGTGGAGAGAGGAAGCTGGAATTTCAATTATGTTAAAAAATGTGAATTGAAAATATACTAATGTTAATGTTCCAAACTGCAACAAACCCAAAGAATTTTGAAATTGCCTGAAAAACACAGAATTCGCACTCAATTTTGTTTCAAGACAATATTTTCTGTCATATCTTATAACAGAATAATGAAGTAAATTGCAAAACAAAAAGTTACTTCAAAACAAAAAAATCCAATATTAGATTTTTTTTAAAATGAGTATTTGCTTATCAAAAATATTGATCAACTCTAGTTCCATATATTATAATTAATCCTATATTGGTGGATCACTTTACAGATGACAAAAATGGTTTCACTATTAATCTATCAAGAGCTAAGTGATGGGACAGCCCCAAAATTACCTAGAGTCAAGAGAGCCTCAACACCCTATATAAACAGCTTTTTACTTCTTCAGCTCCAGGTCCTGTGTCCCTTGCAAATCTATTCATCTCCATCACAGTAATTATAACATTCTTAAAAACAAATTGACTTGTCAAGTCAGTTCCTCCATGACATCCTCAGTGTCTTCAGTGACATTTCTTTTAACAGAGAATGACAGCAGGCAGAAAAAGCAGTGAGATTCCACCTGCCCCAGTCCCCCTTCACGATCGGGACTGCAATAAAGCCAGGATTCTAATTCCTCCTGTTAAAATCATATATAGACAACATCAAACCAGGAGAATAGCAATTCATCATCTTCATCTCATCACCGCTGTTGACACTGGGTATCATTCAATCCCTGGCCATTTTTAAAAGGGTATTCACATTAGAAATAAAAAAAAAACCCAAACCCACACCTCTGCAGCAGCAATGGCCACCTACTAACTCCAGTCTCATGGCTCCAAGGGAATTCCCTTTAGCAAAATCAAAGTGACACATGGATAACAATCCAGTTTGGCTACTTGTAACTTAGCAGCGCTGCCTCAAGGCTGACTTAATCCAACTGAGAAGTAATATGGTGTGTAATCCAGGGTGAGACATCAGTAAAATTTAAACAAGCAAATTGGAAAGAAAGGGAGTTGACACACAAGGGAATGCTCTACACAACACAGAAGATGCAAGGTAAAGCCTTTCCGCTTTCAAGACTCTTTTTTTTTTTTCTTCTTTAATAAAGCTTTCTCTCTACAGGCAGTTCATGAAACAGCAATTAGCATATACCATCCTAAATCCCCAACCTGATGTGCACTACGTTATTCTGCCGACATGGCTGGCAAAGCCCCTCAGGTCCTGTAAACCAGTCTATGAGCCCTTAATAGAAGCACAGCAATTTACACCAGTGGAAACTCTACAATGATTTATACCAGCTAAATGTCAGAACCCACTAGGGGAAATGGAGACAAACAGTCTTGATAGGATAGCATCAAGAAAAATGTTTTCTTCCTTGGGCACGATAGCTAGAATAACTAAAACTAACACTATAATACTGATTAAGGAGACTGTTGAAGAGCCATAGGAAAACTGAAGTACCAATCAGCTTCTTATTGTTACAAGGCAACACTGAGATGGAGAACCTGGAGAAATTCAAACTCACACAACAAGAATTTCTCTGCAGAATTGCTACCATGAGTCTGAGAGTGCCTGTGCTCAGCTCAAGGGTTATCACAGCCACTGGTATAGACATTTTCCTCAGGGATGTTCTGTAGGTCACATCACCAGTCTACAGTTATGAAACGTTCCTCCAGCAAAATCACCAGCAGGTTGCTATTATCTGCAGTGGGTGAGAAAAGCTCGCTTCCTTTTTTTGTCTCTTGCTTCCCCACCCCCTCTTTCCATCTAAATGTCAGAAACTGACACATGACCATTCCTGCCATTGCTTTATCACGGCTAGGGCAACGTAGTATGTGAAAGCCCTGCAGAGAAATCTGCAGCCTCGGTCCTTTTTATGACAAACAAATATTTAAAGACAGGTCTCACAAGGCTTTTTTGCTTGATCTCATTTGTGTTATTCCAGTCTGTAGCTTTATATAAAATGAAAACCTCTCTAGGGAATTAAATATTGAATAACATCATGTTTTTTCCACTACATTCAATAGTTTGCCTACTTGTCAAATAATTGAGAAAAATACTTCAAATTTGATAAAAACCTGTGCAGCGTATTTTTACAAAAGGAATGTGGGTTTACATTTTTACCAAGATATTTCACTTGGCATAATTTTCTTTTAATAGCTAAGTTGTCCTTTATAGCACGGGCATATTTTAAAGGAACTCATAAAAACTAAATTTTACAAGCTAAAAATTAAATACAAACCACTGATGAGATGCGTATGTATGTTACAGGTTTAGTAGGTGTCACAGATAAATACAGACACATAATTAGTTGATGGTACAGATTTAATAACATGCAATTAGAAAGTGGACTGCTGGAATCCTCTTTCAGATTTTATTAACAATTTATTAACTCTCTGAACTATTTAGGCATGGAACCTTACAATATTTAGTTTAGGAATATTTTCTTGGCAGCTTGATCCAGTAGGAGAATAAGCAGTTAAAACAGGGTAGTATTGGTGTTTTAAGTGTCTGAATGTTAGCTCTTTTACTGGCTTGTGACCCGTTCCCAAAGAAATGAGCAAGAATTAAGGAGCGGTCTAGATTTCCAGATCTCTCCCTATTCTTCTTCTAATTACACAAATCACCAAACAAGCATCAAAACAGCATCTTCAATCGCTTCATCTTCTTCTAAAACAACTATTGCCAAACAGTGCTGCATGGATCACCAGATACCCTCGCAGTACTTGCTGGTGGTCTAAGAAGATTTAGTGATCAGCTGAGAAAAGTGTATTATAGTTCCCAGTTGTTCATGTGAAAAATTGCCGTTAATGGACATATCCTGTTCAGTCAACAGTTAAAGCAAGAGAACCCTGCACCAAGAAACTATCCTGACACATCAGTTCAAGCTATTCATTGTCAGCCAGATGAAGCAGTTTTCCTCAGTGCTGTACAGAGGTTCTGCTGTCTGCTTCTGCCTGTTCTCCTGAATTCTGACAATGTAGAATGAAGGAAAATAAACATGGATTTTTGACAGTAAAATCCTCAGCCTCTCCCAGTGCAGTTAAAGACAGACCCTTATCATAGAATCAGATCATAGGATAGTTTGGGTTGGAAGGGACCCCCACAGGTCATCTAGTCCAACCCCCAAGCAGTGAGCAGGGACATCTTTAGCTACAGAAGGTTGCCCTCCATCTGAGCAAGCCAGAGCCCCATCCAACGTGACTTTGAATGTTTCGAGGGATGGGGCTTCCACCACCTCTCTGGGCAGCCTGTTCTCGTGTTTTACCACTCCAACTGTAAAAAATTTCTTCCTTATATCTAGTCTGAATCTACCCTCTTTTAGTTTAAAACCATTATTTCTTGCCTATCACAACAGGCCCTGCTAAAAAGATTGCCCCCATCTTTCTTAGAGGCCCCCTTTAAGTACTGGAAGGCTGCTGTAAGGTCTCCCCTGAGCCTTCTCTTCTCCAGGCTGAACAACCCCAGTTCTCTCAGCCTGTTCTCACAGGAGAGGTGCTCCAGTTCTCTGATCATTTTTGTGGCTCTTCTGGCTAGGACTCACAAGCAAAATTCTATGTGCATTGAAGGCAGTTACTAGAGACATATGTACACTAATTCAATATATATAAAAGCATCCATTCCTTTCTTCTCTCCCCCACCTCTCCCCAACCATTAAGTAATAATTAATGGGTGGAAGGGGAACTTGTGTACTGACCTCATCGACGTTCTCAAATGCATTGATGACATCATACGGCAAGCATGAAAGCAGATCGATCACAAACCAGGTCTTCAAGTAATTCATGCGAATCAGCTTTGGGTCAGAGATCACCTCTCCTGCTGGCCCCACAAAGGTGGTATGGAAATTAAGCACAATGTCTACCAAAAAAATTACATCTACAATGCTGTCAACTACTAGCCATGCCACATTGTTCTGTTTGGTTTTAAAGGAGACATTGTAAGGGACCAAAATAGCAGTATAGAAGGTTAAAATCAAGATGATCCAGTCCCAGGTAGTCTTGAAAACACAATAATGCAAAATTATATGCGGCGGAGTCTTTGGTGCCTCTTGTTTGTACTGCGGGAGGATTTCAGAGCCCAGTTGCAATACCTGTAGGCACAGAGATTTCAAGAGAAAAAGAAAACGTGCTTAATTTTTTAACGTTATTTTTCACATTGTAGATTCTCAAGCTCAGTACAACAGTTCATAAAAATACATGTCCATTAACTCCTTTTATCGCCACCAAATGACAAGCAAGGCAGGATACATATTCTATTAAACAAATCAGCATCAACCTAAGAACAGTTGCCGTTTCTTTTAATGCCATTAATTATTTTTTGACACCAAGTTTAATGTGCTGGGTCTCCAAGACACATCGAGAAGAGACAGCTCCTTCAGCAGTCTAAACAGACGAGGCAGATGGGCAGGAAGGCAGTTGCAAATAGAAATCATTTGCAAAACCAGGAACAACACCACAACTCCTAAGTTCCAGTCCAGCACCAGTGTTACCATTGATATTAACGAAATGTAAAATGTGATTGAAGCAACTGGGAAGCTGCTAAGAGTCCTTTGTATTGCCTTGATCCAATTTTGGTGAGAGTGTAACTAGACATGATTTAAGGCTAGACTTAGGAACTAGCTATTAGACAACGTGGCTCAGTCAGAAAGGGTGATGGATTGTGGTTTGGCCAGCAAATCATGAAGAACTGCTTGGGACTGCCAAGATTAGAGAAGAAGGAAGCAAAAGGTAATTCCAGCAAGGGGAGATTGCGACCACTGACTCAATGACCACCTACCCAAATGATACGACCTACTCAAAAAGGACAATAGAAGAAGGTGGCATTAGAAGCGAGGAAGAAGAATCAATCATCAAAAGGAATAACGATGAATATGTATTAGTTAAGGGGGTAATTGCAGGAAACTCTGAGGCCAGATGTGCTTCTTGGAACAGACACCCATTAATGTGCATCAATGAAATAAAAAACCTGAATTCTGTGTGTATTAGTGTTTTACATATGGGGTACCAGACCCCACTTGTGGGACAACACTGGGACCACTGGACCACGTTGTTTCTCAACATTGTCTATTTAACTCTTCACTATACTGTATCTGAAATTCTTATACTACAATCTACCACGAATGCACAGGCCTTTATTCCTCTTCTCTGGGCCATGCAGGACCAAAATCCATGGATAATTATCATTAGCCTCAACAAACTCATTTTGAACTTTAACTTTTCACTGAGAGAAGATCAGTGTCTTCACTACCTGACAGTGTACAGTCAACTTACAATGCAGTTAGGTCTAAACTCAAAAAAGTGCTACAGCAAAAGATGATCTGTCAGCATGTGTTTTAGACCCTGGACCTCAAGCTGAGCACATGGTCTGAGTGTTTTGCATAACCGCAATCTTGATCAATGCTGCCCATTTTAAGTCTAATGTTTCTCCAGTTCTGCACGCTAGTGAAGAGAGTACATTCACGTATTTAATTCTTGGAAACTAAAGTTTCTTTTACATACCTATGAACAAGCATGTGTTTGTTTACATCTATGGGTATACAGGAGGGTGAAACCAACGTGAAGGATCTGTTTCCAAATAAAGACAAGTTAAAACTCAAAATTAAATTTACCCTGGATGAGTTATGGGTGAAAACTGAAAGGCAGATGGAGGTTTGCTTGAGTGAGATGTGTTTGCCAATGTCAAACTCGTAGAACATGGGAGAACTATTTAGGAGCATGGTTCCTTTTTCACATTTATTTACACGCAGTTCAGAGCAATAGGGAGCAGATAAGGAAATTAAATGGCCACCTTCTCAGGGAAAAGATCAGACAACACAGCTATAATAGGACAATGTCTTCCTTTCATGCTCCTTATAGCAGCTTTTTTATCGTCAATTATTTAGAGACAGATTTTTATCTGCAGGCTTTTCTGAGTGCTTTTTAATTTTTTTTCTTTTTTTTTTCTTTTTTTTTTTTTTTGGTGAACTGGTGAGGTTTTTTCCCAACAGATTAAGCCAAAGGGGACAAAAGAAGACAATCAGCTACAAGACCCCTACTTGGACAAAACAGCCTCAGATCAAGTTCCCTGCTGCTTTGAACTTCACTTAATCACTTACTGTTGTGCACAACAGGAGTGAGACGCTGTCAGAGCACAGTCCCTTGCACTTGTGTAAATGACAATGGGAGTTGCTGACTTTAAGCTCAGGGTGTTCTCCAGAAAAGAATTAGCATGACCTGCTCAGAGACCTGCATGTTAGCACAGAAGCATCAACATTTAAAAAAAAGAAAAAAAAATAAGAACTTAGTATTTTTGTTTCACTGAGTTTCTAGAATGAAATCAAAGAGGGAAAAAGAACATTTTCCCCTAAGTAGAACCCTCACAGACCAAACTAGGACCCAGACACATCCACTGAAGTATTAAATACTTGCCACTCCTGACCCTGATTCACACAGGTTCTCCGTAGTACAGAAAAAAGAAAAAAAAAATTGCCTTGTGGTGAGAGAAGCTGGAAGCAGCACAATACTGAAGCACTTTCTTCTCTGCAGGAGGCACTGGCCAGGCAATGCACTCTCCAGAAGTAACTGGTAGTGACTGGCAGAGGCATAGGTTGTGTACCGAGTTAGTACGTGTACTCAGAGCGTCCTTCCCTTCAGGACTTGTTTGCATTCCCAGCGACAAATGTTAGGATGTACTTTCTTGACAGAAGCTCTAGCCCAAGATCAATATTGCAAATAACTTCTGCCCTCCCTTTTGAACACCACAGCTGTACCTGAGTCAGTTGGAAAGCACTGAGCTACCACTGGCTTTTATGAGGATTTGCATGAGTAGCAGCTCTAACATAAGATCCCGAGCCTAAAATATGCTTCACTGGGCAAGGAGAGTCCTCTGCAACATTCACTCACTGGAAAAACCGATCAGTAAAAACAAGCAGTTTCTATCATATAGCAACATTTTTCACCTTTAAATGCAGTATGAAAACATAATTGCTTCTTTTGCAATCACGCCTCCTACAGCTTTTTTTTTAGCCTCAATACTATACTAAAGTGTCAAACATTTTGGTAACCATTCTGATCAACACCTGAACCTCTGCCATGAAACACTGAAAAATCTAATTTTGTTAGTTCTTGTCAGATTCTTATACATGCATATGTAAGTTCTAGACTGAGAAATGTATAAAACACTCCATTTTGGCCACCACTGGTCTCTGTACTCCAAGAACTTGTGGAAATTTTGCATCATCCAAACTAAAGTTACTGGAAAATGTACTAATGCATTCCCATATACCTGAATAATAGCAACAAAGGCAAGAACAATCTCTGTTTGACAATAAAGAAGGGGCTAAATTATGGTGTCCATTATTTTGCTGTAAATCAAAAAAAAATTACAGTAAAGCCAGTGGAACTGCATGGATGTAAAACTGAATCAAACACAGAGAAAAACTGACTTCTAGTTTCAACTCATTTAGAAAATAAACAACTTTACTGCTTCAGTGTTTTAAAATGTCATCACCAAATACAAAGCACTCTCCCCTAGCTTGTTTGAGATTCAAGGGCTACAGCACAGGAAAATAAAAGGATTGATGTCTGCTTCCATTTTTATTTAGAAAGTAAATGTACTCTAAACTATCTGAATGGCTGGAGACCTTATTAATAAGTCTTTTGAACTTCCATTACCACCTTGGAGTCTCTGCTTAAGCTCTACCAATGGCTATTTAAAGCGATCAAGGGCAATGGCTTTATCTAGTTTCCAGTGGAAGGATGTGCACCAGCAGTGTGAGTGTGACTCTCAGAAGGAGGGGCAGGGACAGGGCAGGAGATGGGCACCACGAAATTACATAGGGATATCAATCACTCAAGGTGGGGAAAGCCGCCTGCAGCAAGCCTGAGGTATCTCCAGTTTTTTGTTTGGGTGAGATGGGGGTGACAAGTTCCAGCAGTGGTTCCCTCTCATATATATATATATATATATACACTAACGTGCACCTTGTAAAACCACTCCATCTTAATGCCATTGCTAGGGAGATGAACTGTCATTTCACAGCTTGAGATGGAAGAAGGGCACTGTCCCAGCTCATACTACCTCTCCCTCTGTAATTTGCTTTACAGATTGGCAAAAATCTTGCAGCTTCTGGGAGTCAGTCAAGAAAGAGCTTTCAAAGGCACCAAATTCTTATTTTCACTGAAGGAAGAGAAAAACACCTATAATGAAGCTTAATTATCTCAGAGAACAAGCATGTGCTTTTAGCATTAAGCGCTACAAACGAGCTCAGTGCTGCGCAGAATTACTGGAAGGAGGTCCACAGAGCTTAATGCTAAAGCTCTAGGTTCTGTCAGGAAGTTGGACAGCCCTTTTCTCCACTTTTCACACCAAGGGCCACACACAAACTATTTCTTCACCCTCCTTCCAGACACACACACCACCCCTGGGTCATCTGGAGATTGAGAGCTATAAACCCCAGTCTCTCTGCACCATATAGCAAAGCTGAGTAGATGCAAAGAGAAGCACCTTCTGCCCTATTCCAAAGTGCTCTTGCTGCACTCCAGCCTCTAAGGAGAGTAGTGCTAACCTGAGACACAATATTTGCTGAAGGAGTCAGGTGTAGTTACCCACCCACACGAACTAACTAGATTCAAACTGCTTGTAAAGGTCCTTCTCCTGGACAGGAAAAAAACCCAACCAACCACGAGATGAATATAAAAGTAATCACAAAGAAAATGTACACAACTATATAAACCAACATGCTGAGCTTTCACCCATGTGCACTGAAGAAATATTTCATTACTATAATTTTCTAAATAACTGAAACAGCCCTGGTTTTGGAGGATTTTTCTCCATTATGTGGTTATACCATAGTAAAATAAATATTTGTTTCAGAAAGATACTAATGAAAGTATTATTCCAATTACTTACGATTCATCAGCAACTACAGTTGTATTATCTGTATTTATTATTTGTGGTAATGATGTATGATGTTTTAATAGCTCTCTAAAGCCAAAAAATATTATTTCAAGAGCAGAAATGACAAATTTCATCATGGGTTTCACAAGGCTGTGTTAATTTTTTTTAACATAATGAAATTTTTTTTAAAAAGATCCTAGATTTGTTGAAAAATGGTGAACATATCACCAGTCAGGACTCATAAAAGTGCATCAACAAGTGGTTACAATGATTTATTCATTTTTACAACTGCATGACTGAGGGGGTGGGAATGACACACAAACATTCATTTTCAGCTTAATCTCTCCCTTTTGTGTTTTCAGCTGCACATATTTGCTTTCTCTCACTCTCCCTTGCTTTTGTTTCCACGTGCACCCACACAAATTGCTCCCAAGCCAAAGGCTAGATGCTAAGCCTCAACTTGAAGCAGATTTTAATGGCAGTTATAAGTCCCTGGTAAACAAGGTTTACAAAAAAAAGGCAGAAGTTCCGTTATTAAGCAGTGCTTCTAAGCACTATTATAATTTTTCTGCTTTTATTTCTCATAACTATCGCATTTTTAAAATTATGACACAATCTTGTTTACCCAGAACTGCCTGGTAAATATACAGAACACATCAGAGGACATGTGTACTATGCAGTGACCAGGAAGAATGGTTCCTACAATCACCTCCCTGGTGATAAAGCCACAGAAAGGTATCCATTACTTTATACTCTTATCGCAAAATGTACTCTCAGAGTGACCTAACACCTTTGCATCAATCACATAATTAATTTAAGCGGTTTTCATATGACTGCTATTAGACAGGGCAGGCTAAAAAAAAAATAATCTACAGATACTGGCAAAAGTCAGAGACTGAGGCTTAACAGACACTGCTTGTATTATTCATGGCCTGTGGATAAAACAAAGTAGTTTGTCACTAACACCTTTCTCAAACTAGTATTTCACAAACAATAAAAGAAACACCAAGCTTTTGTGGCAGGCTCCTGTTTTGTATTTGTACAACACCTTGCCCCACTCAGGTTCTAGGATACAACCAGTTCCTCAGATATTCAAAAATAAAGTGATAAAGAACTGAGAGTAACACAAATAATTCTGCAATAAATGGAGAGCCTTCTCAAGCAAACAAGATTGATCTGAAATGCCATAGCAAGTAGGAAAAGAAAAAGGAGAATTTTAATCTGAACTTAAGATTTCAAATACGCTACTGCAGACATGAAGGGAAAAAAAAAAAGTTGAAAATACTACGGGGAACAGTTGAGATCCCATGTTCAATATTATAGAGATGTCTTTCTAGAATAAGAAGCCTGGCATCGCATGTTTTCAAAGGAAGAAAAGTGGACTTGTCTGTACAATCATCTGCACTCAGCTTTTCTCAAGTGTAGTTCTATTGACTTAAGTGGAATACACAAGCAGATACACAACAACGTACCTAACATCACAGTTGGGGCTAATGTTCTTTTTAAAATAATGACTGCAATATTCAGTTGGCAATTAAAGAAACTCATTTCAGACATGTAAACTATACACTTGCCCTTTATTATTTGTAATTAATCAGCTGGCTGTGCCAGTTAGAATACTTGCAAAGACTTGTTGAGCACACTGGCTTGCAAGAAGTTTCAGTAATGTCTAGTCACTTAGGTCCAGACTGAGGTTCACTGAGCTGAACAGAATAACCTCAGACCCTTTGCATTACATTCTACTGCCTACATTTTAGCATGAACTAAAATTCAAGGGTAGATATCTAAAGACAAGGAAGGATTATTTGATGCTAAGCCTTGAGTAGGGTTAGGAGAGAGACTATTCCAAATCCCAAGACGCTAAAGCAACCTCAGGGTGGACATGTGATAATCACACAGTATTCCAATAGTATGGTGTCCATGTGAATGCCCCTCCCCCGGGCTAGTAAGATCTATGTTATTTCTGTACTCCCAACAGAAATCAGTTTTCCATTTTTGAGTGCATCTGTATGCAAACAGGTAAGCTCCTGTCTGTGCGCATTCCATCGTCACGTGACATACAGGCCTGGGAAGGAGTTGTTTATTTTGCACAGAAACTAAGAAATATACAGGGCCAAATTAACAGAGTACTGACTAAATGGAGACCCCATGGAACCTGTCACTGGCTTACACCTCCAGCTACATGGGAAGATCAAAAAATATTGATGAGAGTCACAGTTGCTGCCATGGCATTCACAGCAATAGGTGAAACGGGAGTGCCATGTTATATTGGCCGTTCTGTCAGTAACACCACATGAAGACTTTCCCTAAGCTGTTTTTACATCAGAGAGACCCTGCTACTGGCCCAGGAGACAGCTACAGGAAACTTGGGACAGTCTCTCCCCCTCGTGGTGAAAGCCCTAAAACCCTAAGTATTTCAAGGGCCTTCTCTGCTTGGAGCTTTTCTCAAAAGTTTAAGAGTCTACTTAAATCACAAAGTTTCATTTTTCTCATCTGTCTGCAGTGTTGCTTGTGGCATCTTACAGCTGTTCCTTCTATAAAACCAGTAACTCAAACATACGTTTTAACCAGTTTGTAAAGCAGGATTGAGTTCCCACTGAAAGGGAACTAGACATAAACGAATGCAGAGAACAAACATGTCAAGGATCCTCCAGAATTTCCTTTTGTATTAACTTGAGTTTTTCTCACCTCTTACACAAGTGAATAGTCCAAGATCCTACCAACACTGAGATCCTCAGAAGAAGAGAAACTAAGCAAGAAAACATTACTTTAATAATAATGCCATTGTAAGATTTTGCTGAGATACAGAACACAACACTGCAATTAGATTACACGAAGTCTTTTGGACACCTGTTTCCATTCCACTGTCATGGGGCACATTTCACAGCACACATGCCATATTCTAAGCTCCCATGCCTGTCACCGGGCTTCAGATTTCCAGGACAAGGGGGACAGACAGTGCTTGGCTCATGCAGAGACAACATACCCACAAAGGCTAAAACCATTTCTTTATGATCTCTCAGGGAAAGAAAACATTACCTCAGCAAGTCGCGAATGCTTGTGAACGTTCTCTCCTTTCTGCACGCTTGGAGCAAGCTGCTGCAGCACGCCTCGGCTGCTTGTGAGGGCACGGGTCAAGCGAGCAAATTTTCCCCAACCTTGAGAAAACATGCAAGATTATACACATTACTAAAAAATGCTTCAAGCGTACCACATAAAGCCTCTCATAACAACAACAAAAAAAAAAGTTAAAACAGATCAATCTGCTTTAATACTTACTACAAGGGAGTATAATTTAACCAAGTACCAGATAAAAGCAAGTCACAAAATAGGTGTCAGAGTGGTAAAGTAATAAAACCCATGACTGCCTTGACTTTGTAGTCAATGGCTCTACAAGGGTGCTGTTACATGAAATGCATCTTTTGTAAGGACAAATGTCCACTTTACAATAATCTTCCGTTAAGTCCAATGGCCAGATTTGTATCTCACTGCAGAAGACACTCCAGACTAATAAAGACGTAAGACTAGAATCATCCACAATGAAAATTACAGTTGCCTGTAACAGAAGTGAATCTGCCCTCAGATGTATCAAGCATAGACCTGGCATAAGCAGAGAAATATATCTAAGATAATAAAAAGCAGAGCAGACAAAGCAGAACAAAATTATTAATACACAAATAATTTTCTCAAACTCTAACAAAGCATTTAGCAGCAGAGAAGCCATATGCTGAATTTTAATTCAGAATATTTTTTACAGTCATTTCAAATACCCCTCAAAGTAGAAGACCTCAAATGACAGTCACAAGAGACAGTTACAGTTATAACTTTTATAAGCAGTACTTTGTCATAACAGAAAGTTAGTCAGAGTATACATCTGGATATTTTTGGTACTCTGAAAGGAAAGTATCAGTGCATTTAGTTGAATCTTGAAAAACGCTAGCACCACCTGGGAACTGTTGAGCAGTCTCACCTCCTACTTCAACTGAGGATGCTCTGCACTTTACAGATTCAGTTCTTAATGAGAACCTGGTTCTGGAAAAAGTTCCCTTCACATTATGCTTTTATCACCAGAAGAAATTATACTAGTAGCTGTGACTGTTTTTAAAGACTAGTCTGAAGTTTAGCCTGCAAGTGACCCATGACCAGTACAGGAATATGGGTCGTTAAAATACTGCCCATTACTTTGAAAATATCCTTGCTTGACATCTCACTTTGATGGAGTTTGCAGGAACATATTTGGTAACTGCAGAGGCGAGCAGAAAAAAAAAAATAAAAAATACAATTACATGGATCTGGTATTGAACAAGGTCTTCCAGGGCAGATCTGAAAAGAGAATTTAGCATTTTCTCCTTTACAAAATGGTGCATTTATTAAAGTGAAAGACCAAATTCATCAGACCTCTCCAAAATAAAGAATAAAACTGAGTATTTTCCTATGCCTTAAAGCATGTTTTAAAGTAAGTCTGTCACTGGTAATTTAATAGCCAAGTTGAGTAGAATTAGCCAACACTTTTGGGCAGTATTCAGCAACAAGTAGACTGAACGACTTCCACCCAGGAAAACAGATCTTTCCTGATAAATCCATGTAAGATTAGCTACTATACGAAAGGACTATTGCTCAGAGAAATAAATCAACATGACAGAACCTCAAGTGAGGTCAGTTTGTATCTGTTATAAACCTGACCCAAGGCACTTGATTTCTCACAATACATTTCCATGGAAGGTGGTGGGGTTTGGTTTGTTGGGGTTTTTTTCAGATACATCTATAAAGAGTATTCTTTCTCTAACGTACATGAAGAAATCCACCTACAACTGATAAGCTAATGCTTGAAGTCCTTACTACCTTCTGAGTAAAGCCAGTAGAGGTTAAAAGAACGGATCAGGGGGGAGAAAAGATTCCTAACGGCTAACCTTCAGCTGATATAAATCTAGCCTTTGTAAACCCAACGCAGCTACAGCAAGTTACACCAACCTAAAACTTTGCTTCGGCCGAACATGCCAGCACTACCGGTTTTTTCCCGTTTTCGACGGGAGGGGGCTAGCAGCACCGCTGGATCTTCAGCGGTACAAACCCAGCCCGAGGAGGCCCGAGGGGGATTTGCTCCCGGCAGCCCCCGGGCCGCGCGGGGCGGGGCGGGGCGGGCGGTCTCGGCGCTGGCCGTGGTGCTGAAGCGGAGGCCGCGCCGGGCTTGTGGGCAGGCGGCACCTCTGACGGCAACACAAATGACGGCAGAGCTCGAGCTTCACGCGGGACCTCGGAATCTGCCTCCCTCACCAGACAAGTAGCGTTTTTAATGCCACCTAACACAGACAGCCCCTCCTACTAACTCGACACAGAGTGATGGGCAGGGCATTTTCCTGGAAGATTCAAAATTTGGTTCAAAACCTGAGGACAAACTTCCAGTGTGTATTTTCTTCCTGCCATTCAAGTTTTCTAAGAATTAGGCTATTCAGACATAAACAGAGAGAGAAGGAATAATTATAATAGACCTGCAGATTGTGGCACAGGAAAAGGAAAAGGAAAATGAGAGAGAATGACAGTACCAATCCTATTGAAAGATAACTTCTCTGATACTGCTTGAAAAGACAGCAGTACCTGTTGAATTTATTGCCATTTTTCCTCCAGAAGCCTAAGGACAGACACAGCCTACAGCAAGTCAGATATTTACAGGTCAAATAATGGGCTTAAACCAGAGGATGGAACATAAACATTAAATCCTAAGGGTCATGGAGCTGATTACAGGAAGAAGAGGAAGCTTCCCAAGACAAGAAACTAGGTTCCAGAATGGTGTAAGAATATATTGATGTTAGTCCCGCTAGGACAGGGGGACCAGATGATATGGATTAGGAGGTTTTTTTCAACACAAGTGGATGGTATATCTCTACATCCATTTTTTTTCCCCTCTAGAAATAGAGAAAATACAAATCAAATTTAAATCTAACGACCCTGGGTGATTCTTATATAGGCGTATCTATTCCTTACACAGACAAGAGGTCACACAGCAGAGAAGACAGGAATTCAGGAATCAAACATAAAGCTGGATGCCAGCTCTATGATTGTGCTTGCCTGTGCCTCCATCCTTGATTACAAGCCATTTTTATCATTGTTTGGTTTCCTTTTTCGGTTCTGCAGAAAACATCATGCAGGGACAAAACAATAGATGACACTAAAACATCTCCAGCTTTAAAAGGATGAAGAGCCTTCAAGATTAACTGCACTGACTTCAGCTGTCCTGCATTCCACGGTGTTCTTTCATTTTTCCACAACTTCATTGCTAAAAGCTGAATAGAAACTGCTTCTGAAAACACTCAAGAAGACAAGATGCCTACAACAGACAAAAGATGTCCCCTGAGCTTTGTTGCACAGGGGAACATGGCATTGAAATAAATCTTTACCTCATCAAGACTCTTCTTTAAGGGATGAAGCTTCATTTAACAATGGTCTTAAGTTCAAGAAACAAATTTTCTGTATTTTGAGGCAAGCATGATCTGTTGATACTCAATCCACAACATTTACTATTTATTTGTAGGTAGTTATTTGTTTCCTCCTCAATTTGATCATGACGACTCAGATTCATACATCAGGAACTGTAGCAGTTACAGAACCCTTGTTATCAAGTTGCTGACCCATGACTTATGCAATCCCTAGAGTTAGAACAAGGAGACATCACCTGATAGAGAATAAACTCATTTGGTCATGGGTCTGTAGGTCACACAGAACTATGTAAATGAGAGTAAATCAGGGTTCTGGCAGTTCTTGCCTCCACTCAAACCACCTTTGTTTTCTTGTACATCAAAGATCCCTGCTTACGTCCATCATTCCTCTCTGCAGTCTTAATGCTCCTTCCCTTTGAAACAGTCTTATTTTTCCATCTGGACTGGGAAAGCACACTGAAGTTTTTTAATATACTCACCACTTCCCTTTCATTTGTTTCCTTTTTTAAGAAAACATTTCATCTAGATGAAAGTAGAGTATAACTTAAGCAAAATATTTCAAACACTGGCTCTGCTCATATAAATACACCTTTAAAAACAGAATAAAAAATTAGACAGCAACAATAAAAAAAAAAAAACCCAGAAACAAAAAGGGAAAAAAATTAATCACTTGGATTTTTCCCTAAATTAAGATGAAGGAGGCAATCAAAATATTATTTTTCATGTAGCCCTGCTTGTGATGCAACGGACAGCTTAGTTGCAAAATGAAATAATGTTTCTTCTGCGGAGGAGATAACTGATGATTGCTACAAAGCACAGGAGACTAACAACCATCCTCCTATACAATTCAGTATGTCAAATTTCATCACCTTTTTGTATAAAAACAAAGTATCAAAAGCAAAAATCAGGATCCAAAGCATAATTTCCAAACTTTTATAAAGGAGCACAGATACATCTGAGTACATTCACATTGCATTCTTACATGCAAAATCTGTTCAGGCAAACTTCTTACTAGCTACTCAGGGTTCAGGCACAGATTCTATTTGTCTGATATAAATTATAGCTTTCATAAAGCGATTCATTCCACTTTACATACTATTCTCAAACATCTCATACTTGGTGTGTTCGATCTCAAACCAAAAGAAGACACACACAGACAAAATGCATGAATTCCAAATATAGCATATACTCTAAAATTCAGCTAAGAAGGTGACCTATCCCTTCACAAGCCAAATTTAGCTATGCTATAGCTTGATTTTGCCTACTTCTATTTAAGTAAATCTATTTTTTTCCTGATTTTTTAAAGGGGCAAGCATACAAGGAAGAGTGGAAAGAGTCTGTTTAAAAATATTATATCATCAGCATCACTGACACACTATTTTTAAGTTGTTGCGTTTAGAATGCACTATTTTTAAAGCTGCTGCATTTAAAAGCAGATGTACTTCTACGGTAGTCATAAAATAAACACCTTCTAAATTATCTGAATCAATTAACAAAGACTACATTTAGAAGTCTACTTTTTACATGACTTTAGAAATATTTTTAGTTTCATCTATTCCAACATTTGATATTCTTAACAAAAATACTAAGAATGAAAAACCATACTGGGACCTTCTATCTCTGAGTCACCTTCAGATAAAAGATGCCTATACATTTTTGTGTACAAGTCAAACACCTGCTATTAGAGCTCAACACTTTTCACTCAAGTAGTCACTACATCATTTGCAGATGAACAATCATGCTTGAAATTGTCAGCAGGTGATAGAAAACTAAGACATACCACAGCTAAGCAGGTTTAGCGTAACAGATTAGTTGCTCTTTAAACTGATCATGTTCTTGTACTACACAACACTTTTCTCTACGTAGACATACAGGCATTGATTTTGAAAAACTTAAATACTTTATGCTAAGCCACTCTGCAACTATGCAAATAGCACATTTGTTAATAAAGTATCTGCATTTGCAGGCAGCCTATTAGATATTAAGTGGTCATATGCACAGGAAACTGATTTCACATATAAACACAGTAAAAGAAAAGTAGTTGATAAAAGCTGATTGAACGTGAAAGAAGGAAAAATAATTGATTTAGCAATCAGCTTTCAGTTGTTTCAATTAAACAATAAATCTCTAAGTTCACAGTTTCAGGTTTTTAGATTGGGAGTTCATTTGGTTTTAGAATACGACAAACATTCCTACAAAAATCGCTATCCTTCAAAAGCATGCTACAAAATTCCTATGTAATGTTGTACACAGTGCAAAGAGTAGGCCCTCTTCAAAGCTCAGGTCTGTAAAAGCAATGGTTCTTAGAAGACACTAAATAAAATTTCACCTCTTTTAGAGCTTCCAAATTTTTTTCCCCCTCCATGAATCCTAGAGCCCACTACAGACAGTTGCCTGACACTACATACCTGCCTTTCCCTCCCCCTCACAGTACACAATTGCACAATGAGATCTGATATTAAAAGACATGGTCATGCATGTAAAAACCTTTAATTGTTTGACAAAACAGCTCTTCTTTTCCAAGAAATTGCTCATCTAGCCATCAAATGACTAATACAATATCACTTCCTGAGATGCATGCCGCAAAATTCCAAAGCTATCCTATAGCAAGTAACTTACAGAAGAAAGGCATAGGGGATAAATTAGGGATTAGAATAGAATGTGCAGTTTCATTTATATCATGTTTGATTCGTGCATACAGCAACAGAGAACTCTTTACCAGCATGAAACTAGTGCAACTTCATTAATTTTGGGAGATTCGGAAACAATCTTTGGAAGACTTATTTAGTGCATGAACCCTTCTGTACATGAAGTCTTAGCACTCAGGAAGGGCACACAGAACTGTGAATCAATGGCCCCTAAAGAATCCATCCAGTTCTTCTGTCTGTACCTTTTGTTAGTCACTTAGCCAGTTTCCATGGGCCAGATAAAGAAATTTTGTTTGTCATTTTAACTCTTCTTCAAGTCAGTGCTTATATTGCCTTTAGATATGGAACTGCTAAGAATTACCATGACCACTGTAAGGACAGCATGATATCAAGATCCAAAAGAGATTTTTAAAAACAAACAAACAAACAAAAAAAACCAAACAAACAAACAAAAAAAAACCCTTCCCTTCCTTCAAGGTACTTCTCTTGAAAACAGAAAGGTTGTAGTGTTTCCTTGTGTTGAAAGTGAAGGACAAACTCTTTGCACAAGAGTGCGTATCACTACCACATTAAGAATCCTCTGTGACAGCAAAGACAAAAGGCACAGCTACCATCCCAACAAAGTCCTGCTTATCAACTGACTAAATGAAGCAAGGACCTTCATTCCCAGCAAATAAATGAGAGCCAGCTTTACTGCATCATGCTGTTTTATCTTTGCTGTCAATCCTCATCAGGATACAACAAAGACCACTAAACAGAGAAAATAAAATACTGTAGACCCAACCTTTCTGACAAGATGCGTTTTTTAGTTTATTAAAGCAATGAAGAACCAAACAAATAGCATTAAAAAGAGAAAAAAAGAACCCACATGGCCTGGAAGAGGGTATGTTTGTCAAGGTTGTACTTCCTTTTTCATGGTAACAGGTGTTTCCACTTTGAGAAACTATGTTTTTAAAGAATAACATTTTGAGCATAAATGTAAATCAGTTCACCTTCACACTAAGTTTCCTGTTTAATTTAATACTACAAATATTATTAAATACTACAAAAATGCAAACAACAGGAGAACTTACGTCTGTTTTTTTACCCCAGAGGATGCAAGTCTCTGTAATTCTCCATATGGGTACAGAAGGTCTATTTCTGACAGGATCTGAACTTGAGTGCAATTTTATGCTGCTGTCACAGCTGAGTTTGCTTCCAGGTTTCCAGGGTGTAACTCAGCAAAGGGTTAACATCAAAAGCAGCAATGCTGCTTCACTAACCAGGACAGCTTATACCTGATTCTACTTCAGATGATGGGAACCTCTTCACATATGTTAAAGAAAACCAGTCCAGAACTTAAATACAAGGAATCCCATCATAATGGTAAGTAACACCAAGCCAGGCAAAATTAAATTATTCAGATCTTTGCTAGACTCAAACAGGGTCAATTCCTCAGTTTAGCAACACTTTGACTCCTTCAAGACTGTGCTGGAGTGTGGATTAATAATGAATATAAAAGGAAGAGCAGCACCTATTTGCTAAGTAAACTCTGCTTCCTGAAGCACTTGGGAGTTTCAATAGCAACAACCCTTTCCAGTGCAGGCTAGACCCAATTTGCTTAAGAAACCAGCAACCATTCCTTGCACAAATGCAGTTCCCAGTGGCCCAGCTACAAGCTATTTTAACACCTAATTCTTTGGCTTTAGTATTTAAAGGACTTCAGCTCTTTCAAGACCTAGGCACACAAACAGAAGCAGTATAAATATATAATTGTGAAAAAGACAAACCTTTACATGAATCATCCTCAATGGGCTGCTTGAAAGCCGTTATGTCATTGAAAGTGCAAAGAAACAAAACCACTTTATCCTGCTCATTTCGAATTGGAGCAATTTTCACAAAGAACCAGACTGGTGTTCCTGGAAACAAACATACCAAAAAGTTGGTCAATGGTAGGCAGAACAGTACATGTGCTAGTTTAGATATTTACACTTCAAAATCAGCCATCTGTAAATGTTACTTTAATGTTAGGTTTTTTGCAAACATCTATTAGGAAAAATGACAAAGTAGCTGACAAGAGTGTTAAGTTCTCTCTCTGCCTCTGATTAGCTTTTTAATCTTCAGGAATCACTCACTATTTCTGGGCTTCATCTACAAAGTGAATACTTGAACTTATGAAGTGCTTTGTGATATCCTGAAAGAAAAGTCCCACGTACATGCAAAGGGTGCACACAACAGAGTCCTGCTGGATTTGAGAACGGGCCCACTGTGCCTAAACCATGACCATAATAATATCGAGTCTTGACTCAAGAGCATGACCAGTTCAGTTGACTTTATACTTCTCTGCAAAGAGGGAGCACCATTCCCTAACAACTACATCAGCCTATGCCTAGCTTCAAGAGCCAGGCTGTGGGAGTTCTGGCCTAGCCTGCAAATCCTTCCAAGCAAAGGAGATGCCTTTCAGCTTGCCTTGTCCTGAGCTTGCTCACAATCACTCTAGAGTGAAGCAAGACTCCACTGAATAGATCAGGTTCATGACCACCTGAGGAACCTGAACACACATAAGTCTATGTGACCTGTTGAGATGCATCCCAGAGTCCTGAGGAAATTGGCTGATGCTGTTGCCAAGTCACTCTCCATGATGTTTGAAAAGTCATGGCAGTCAGGTGAAGTCCCTGGTGACTGGAAGAAAGGAAACATTACACCCATTTTTAAAAAGGGTAGAAAGGAGGACCCTGGGAACTACCAACCTGTCAGCATCATCTCCGTGCCTGGGAAGATCACGGAACAGATCCTCCTAGAAGATATGCTAAGCCACATAGAGGACAGGGAGGTGATTCAAGACAGTCAGCATGGCTTTACTAGGGACAAGTCCTGACTGACCAACCTAGGGGCTTTCTGCAATGGAGCAACTGCATCAGTGGACAAGGGAAGAGCTACAGATGTCATCTATCTGGACTTCTGCAAGGCCTTTCACATGGTCCCCCACAAAATCCTTCTCTTCAAGGTGGAGAGATACAGGTTCAATTGGTGGACTGTTCAGTGGATAAGGAATTGGCTGGATGGCCACATCCAGAGAGTAGAGGTCAATAGCTCGATGTCCAGATGGAAAACAGTGGCAAGTGGTGTCTCTCAGAAGTCCAGTACTGGGACCAGTGTTCTTTAATATCTTCATTAATGATATTGACAGTGGCATTGAGTGCACCCTCAGCAAGTTTGGTGATGACATCAAGCTGGGCAGTGCAGTCAATATGCCAGAGGGACAGGATGCCATCCAGAGAGACCTGGACAAGCTGGAGAGGTGGGCCCAGGTGAACCTCATGAGGTTCAACAAGGCCAAGTGCAGGATCCTGCACCTGGGCTGGGGCAACTGCCAGTACCAATACAGGCTGGGAGCAGACTGCTAGAGATCAGCCCTGTGGAAAAAGACTTGGGGGTACTGGTGGATGAAAAACTGCACATGAGCCACCAGTGCGCAATTGCAGCCCAGAAGGCCAACCGCATCCTGGGCTGCATCACAAGAAGTGTAGCCAGCAGGTCAAGGGAGGCAATTCTGCCCCTCTACTCTGCCCTGGTGAGACCCCCCCCCAGAGCACTGCATCCAGCTCTGGAGCCCCCGACACAAGAAGGACATGGACCTGTTGGAGCATGTCCAAAGGAGGGCCACGAAAACGATCAGGGGCTGGAGCACCTCTCCTATGAGGACAGGCTGAGAGAGTTGGGGTTGATCAGTCTGGAGAAGAGAAGGCTCCGGGGGGACCTTATAGCGACCTTCCAATACCTGAAAGGGGCCTATAAGAAGGCAGAGGAAGAGCTGTTCACAAGGGTTTATAGCGATAGGACAACGGGTAATGGTTTTAAGCTAGAAAAGGGTCGATTTAGGTTGGACATTAGGAAAAAGTTATCTAATATGAGAGTGGTGGATCACTGGAACAGGTTGCCCAGAGAGTGGAAGCCCCATCCCTGGAGACATTCAAGGTCAGACTTGATGGGGCTCTGAGCAACCTGACCTAGTTAGAGGTGTCCCTGCTTTTTGTAGGGGGGTTGGACTAGGTGACCTTTAGAGGTCCCTTCCAACCCAATACATTCTATGATGCTATGAATTCAGGAGATAACAAGCCATCAGGACCAGACCATGGGCTGTGGATAGAAGTAAGTTGTACTGCATAAAACTATGCTTTTCTAATTACTGCAGTAGACAAACTACTAATGAAAACTGCTTGAGAGAGAAGAGCCTGCACATCACAGAAAAAAGATGATCCCAGATAATGATCCTTCAGATGCTGCTGACAATTTTCCTTGACATCTATCGATACACAGATCACCTTGAGGAGAAAAACTGTCAGTCAGCCCTGCCTTTATTTCTGGCAGTTCTGCTGAGGCTGCTGAAAAGAACCTAGTGATAGCAATGAAGTTCCACGTAGAAGACAGTGTCTACCACTCTCATTTCACAAGAGTCGCCATTCTGATTTTAGTGATATTTGTGTATAAGCTGATTGGAGGGCTCAGAACAAAGCACTTGGCTCCTGTTGTCATAATACGGCCTCCTCGAAGGCATCATTTTTTAGTCTTAACTTTGATCATTAAAAGATGACTCCATCTCCAGCTGTGAGGTACATGGCAATCAGGAGTCTCCAGGGTCACCAGGCCTGGGCCTGCAGTACATGAGTTTTCAGAATATCCCTACACCCTTGATGACGATGAAAAAACTCACCATTGCTTTTGTGGGCATAAGAATTAAAAGCCAAAGAGAAAATTCAGGCTTTCTTGCTGTGAGCAACATTTCTCTTGAATGTCCCTTTTGAGCTATGTTTGGAGAAAAAGGTCTACATACCAGGGACCAATGTAAGATGTAAAAAACAGCAGGCTTTTTACCATCCAGGAAAGCCAGGATAAACAGCAGCACACATCACTTTTGTCACTCATGCAGGAAAGCCTGTTTTAGATAGGGTGATCTTAGAAGACTATTTCTTTTGTTTCTCAATCACAGAACCATCCCTTAGGCAAGAGATCAGATTTTCTTTCACCTGAATTGCTCGGTATTTTAATATAAGTACTAAACAGTGTATTTCATGCAACAGTTAGTTATAACAAGGGCCACTTGTGCTTCCTGATTGTCAAAGGGTCACAAGGAAACCTCAGGTAGTTCACAAGCTACTGTTCAGGCAGATTTTTTTTCCAACTACCTTAATATAACAGAGGTTGTTGCTACCAGTGCCTCACCTGGCTGTTTCCCAGTCTCTGTGCTTAGCAATCTTTTCTGGCCACAGAAAGCCAGGGTATCTCCAAGACCCATGGAAAACTTCCATAAATGAAGCTCAATTCCTAAGGCTCCCACTGTGCCTGCACTGCACAGGCAGTTTCAAACCCTGGCTGAGATTCCCTGCCATATGTACAGCCACCTCTATAAACAGCAGGGTATATGATGCATGGAGGCCTCTGCTCAAAAAGCAGAGAAATCCAGATGGAATCACTGATGGCCATTTCTGGAGCATGCCTGCATGGCAGAAAGTATTCATGGGTCAATATATATATATATAATTTTTTTTTTTAAAGAGTTAGCATTCCTGAACAACCCCTTCCAATAAAGTGTGAGCAAACAAAAATGCTAATGCAAGAATAGATTCAGCAAAGTAACTGTGCCAGTAAAATCATCACTGACTTGCTAATGAGCTTAGAAGACACTGCCACAAAGCAGCCAACAGCAATTTTCAAGACAGCAACACCCTTTACACTACCCTTCCTCAGGAGCTCCTAAAATTGCCCATCTCCATTCCTTCTTGCCTACTTGTTTTTCCTGTCTTCACATGTGAACTATTCTGAGGTTGATCAAATGTGTATCTTGCTTTTACACAGAGCCCTTGGTGACTAATTGCTTTTTATTTTACCCACTTCAACACCCTTCACTAACACTGCAACTTTTTAATCAGCCAGCATCTCCATCTACAGCCTTGCTTTTTCATCTCCATCTATGTGCACTTGCTTTTTTGTCTGGGGATTTTTTTTCCCCTCCCCAAAACCACTTTGTATTGTTTTGCTACTTCAAGCTACAGCCATTCTGCTATGGGCTGCTCATAATATTAACCTTCATAGCACAGAGGCTGATTTACCTACCCAGCTTCATCTCTGCCTCTCACAGCTATAAAAACTTATTACCCTGCTTTTGAAGATGCAATAAACATCACAGAAAAGACACAAATCGCCCTCTTATTCTGGCTATTTGTCAGATGCATGCTTTCATCTTCTCTTTATGATTATGGTATGATAAGTTGTTGCAAGATTTTTCTAACATGTTCTGAATGCAGCAAGAGGAAAGACTTTCCCCGATAATCTGTGGCAGGCTGCTGCAGGGCAATGAGATTATATCAGCAGGGTTCTTACTTTCTGACTCCCTTAACTCCCACTCCCGTGTTGCATTATTTATAGCAAAAAGGAAAACAAAACACTGTTTTACCTAGAACCAAGTGTAGATCTTAGTGATGTGTCCCACAGGCAATGAGAAAAAGACCCGGATATCCTCAATAGCTGAAAGTAGGTGGGTTTGGTGACTGTCACTATTTGGGTACCCTTATAATTTCCAGAGTGTCAGAGTGCCACGAACAGGCTGTATTCCAGGGCAGAATGTAAAATCAAGGTGGCACACATGGCCTGCATAAATCATCTTCCAGTTTGGGATCTACACAGTAACACAGCAACAGCAGAAATAAGTAGATGGAAAATTCTGCCAGGCCAGGCCGTGTATCTGCCTCTCCAACATTATTCAGTATTTTTCCCCTGCAGTGTCTTCCCCACCATCCTGTCACTCTCTCATGAATACGAGACAAGTGGACATAAAAATACAATCATGAGGTGAGTGTTCACAGCGCTGGGTTACATGGGCTTTCCACAGTGCTCTGAAACCAGGAGCTCATTCACAGCA